CCGGTTACAGATGCGCTTCCCAACCCCCTGAGCCACGGTCACCCCGTAATAGACAGATCGGCAACACAGACGACGTGACGGATGTACTTTCCATCTGCTGGCATAAAGTAGCACAGCAAGAAAACAAACCAGAAACTGGACTTCATATTCGCCCTAGATTAATATATGATCTCCCCACCCGCCCCCGCAAAAAAAAAAGACAAACAAACAAAAAACTCACACATTTTCTCTATAAATTCAGTTGAATTTAGTTAGTTTTGTGAATGCTCAACATAGTTTCAGTGAAAAAAAAATTCTGTGAAGGCTAATTTTTTTTTCAGTTCTTCAAATGTTTTTTACTTCTAGTTTTAATTATTTTGTTAGTTTCGAACGATAATAACCTTGCCTGCAGTTTTTATGATGCTTTGACTACCCATCACAGTCACAAACATCTTTATGTTTTTCATAAAGATGTTTGCTATGGTAAACAGGTAAATGGTAAAACAGACTATTACATTACATTCATGCATATGCTAAAAACTCTGAACATATCAAAGGCAACTCAGGATTCAGTACCTACTCGAAGGATACTTCAATACGCATATCGGAGAAGCCGAAAATGACTTTCAGCCATGTTTACAGTATTGTTCTTTAAATAGGCCAGGGGTGCCAAATTGTTTCGATATCTCACAACAGAGCAGGACTACTGTTAAAAACATTTAACATGATGGATGTGTCTGTTATTCATTACTAGAGATTACATGATGCCCGTTGGCCCTATGGAACTCTAAAAATGTGTGATGTCCTTGTGTATGCTATGAATCCACCTATCAACAGAACAGCTAATGTGATTTCTCTTCAGTACTCTCGTTTCCAGAACCAATCTGGGAGTGGAAACCATGGCAACACAAGATTTTTTTTGTACTGCAAATGCTGTTAGCTGACAGATCATGCTATTACCTGCTGCAGTAATGGGGAAAAAGTATGCTGGGTTTCTTCTCAAGTTACCTCATTCAGTTAAAATCATTACAGTTCACCATGCAGCATTGCAATACCATCTACTCTGTCAATCTTCTTTCATCTTCAAACCTGCTGCTGAATCG